CGGACACATCGCACCCCATCTTCAAAAGAGGCATAACTCAAAAATCAGATCCGAAAATATAACTGCTTGTGGATGGTACAGATTCAACGCAATTAATACAGAAACAGGTATATCAGTAGTTTTATAGTGAAGAAAAAAAATATTTGCATTAATTAGAGGTAAATCATACGAATCGATTTATGTAAAAAAATCTACTTAATTTTTTTTTTAGTGTGCCCCTTTTGAAGTTTGTGCGCGATATGTACAAGCATAATTTGTGTTTTAAGTGTATCTATAGATACATGCATCTTAACAAAGATTCATTCTCTAATAAACTGAAGTACTAAGTGCCAAATTTGATTTATTTTTTCTACAGGAAAAAATGTACGCAGTCATATAAATTTTCATAAGGTAGTTGCCAACGATTTTCATTACATTTCCGGCCATATATTAGCTTTTGCTGATATTAAGGCAACAATGGAAAGTTAAAGAAGATTAATTAGTAATAAAACTGCCAAAACGCGATTCCCAAATGATAGACCGTGGAAGGTATGTACATATGTACATTTTCGCGATGTCGATGATGGTTGTGTGCTTGCTAAACAGTATTCAATACTAACACTCAATTTTAATAGCGTCTTTTACAATACCAAATACGTATGTATTCATTAAATTTTAGCGGCATACTAGATACAACTTTCTATATAACTATGCATATTAAGTGGTTAGTTTATATACTTAGAAATTTCATTTGATTTCTAAAGAAGTTGAAAGCAGTTGAAAAGTGAATAGTACATATAAGGAATATCGAATAGGAGAAATTGCGGTCGAAAATAAGGTTAAAAATTTTCTGAATTCACCTTTGACTTAAAAGTTATCTATAAATGCCCAAAGGGATGTGCCTATCAATACCCGAAAACTTCTTGTGTGGGGCTTGGCGATACTCTCTCTTTCCATGTTTTTTGTTTTTAATTTACTTTCAAAACTGTGTTGGAAGACCCGTTCTGGTTGAAGTTAATGGGTTAAAATTTTCTATGGAAAAATTTTTGGAGTGGCATCATCGGATGTTATCTCTTTCTGGCGAGACCTAAGGCTCCTAAGGCTAATTGCTCACGATTACCAGAGTGCGCGAATGGTGGCGCAAAATTGAGTATGGTCGAGCAACTGTAACAGCATAGCCGGAAAGACAGTTGCCTCCAACTAAAAATAAAATACCTAGCTGTTGTTGTTGTAGCGGCTGCTAAGCCTCCCTCGGGTCGGCTCATCCATCAACGTTGTAGTCTGTTTCAGCTAAGGGGAGGCGCAGGAAGTGCGCGACTTCAACGGGCTATGTCAATAGCGACAGGGGCGTTAGCTGGGTGGTGTTGTGGGGGCATGCGAACAGGTGCCGTGAGTCATGTGGCGACTCTCCGCATGACGGGCATGCTCAATATAGCCAGTGTTACCAGTTAAACCTTTTTTAAGGTTACCTCTAGCTTTTAATCTTATTTCCTAGCCTCGCCATTTTGGGTCTAGTTTTTAAGCTTTTGTCTAGCCTTTTCTGATTTTTGAAAGAGCCTTTTTACCCTGGACGCCAAAACGGGACACATGGTGTTTTTGACGTAGAATACGTCTTACGTTTCGATATGAAGGCTATGCTCAAATGTTGTAGTTGTCATTTTTAAAGCTTCACGAAAATGCTTATTGCACCATAACTAATGAAGCGATTTCAAAGAAAAGTGTGGCGTTTCAAAGATAAAATTCAAAACCTATCGACAGATTAATTCTTGTAAGTAACCAATTCGGTTTCTGTCGTACAAACAACAGTAAATATTGGCTTATTTTGAGTTAAGTTCTGGGCCATTAAAGTGCTTTACTTTTTTAAAGTGCAAATTTCTAGATTTAAATGATTTTTAAAGAATTTTTTTTTGATAATGGTGTTGTTCATTTTCTTCCATATAAAATATGCTCGGCAATTTCGTTTGTATGGGAGAAAATGCCTAGCACCATCAGCAAAAAAAATATTAAACTACATAAGTAAATTTAATGAGCTACAAAACTGCATACCCAGAATTTTTCTAAAAATTCGAAATAAAATGTTTAAAATTTTCGGGTGCAAATGTTAAAGTTTGTTGAATTTTCATAACTTTTTTACGAAGTTTGAAATGTGGAGCTGGTTAGGTAAAGTTCTAGACTTTTATAAAAAAATATAAATATTAAATAAACAAACGAAAAATAGCCAAAACTAGTCAAAATGTCACTTGACTTTATCAGCTGACCACAAGTGTGTATGTATGAGTTCAGAATGAAAGTACTAAAACACTTTTAACTTATAAATGGTTAAATCTTAGTACAACAATTGTTTTTCGGATAGAAGTGAAAGAATTCAAGAAATTAGTTAAATGAAAAACCATTTCAAGAACTTTGCAAACTAGTTTTTAGATTTCTTGGTTTGCCATTCAGTAGCGCAATTTAAATTATAAGGAGTAATGCCGAATTTTCACTAGGCATTGAAATGACAAAAAATTGGTGTAATTTAAAAATGCCGTCTTAAAATGAACTTAATGACTATTTTTTGAACGTAATGAACGATAATTTTTTAATGCCCAACTTTGTCATTACAATTTTTGCCATTTAATGCCTTGTGGAAATCGAGCATAAGAAAGATGCGAATTAAAACACAATTGCTTATCTCACTTTTAAATATTCTGTGCTCTTTAAAAAGAATGGAAAAATGTTGTCATGCTTTTGAAATAACTACTCTGCTTTATATAAATTCATGTGACGTATAAAAGAATTCTTTACATTCTTTAAAAACTATTTTTTTTTTAATATTCATTACATAATGCAGAGGCAGAAATTTAGACAAAACACAAAAATTACAGTCTGACCATCTGAAGAAAAATGAAATATACTAAAATGGGCGCAAAACATAACCGAAACGATGTAAACAAGATAGCGAACATAGAAAGAAGTGCTCCAAAAGTTGAGCCATGATGATGCTAGCAACATCAACATAAGCGACGAAATGTGACGATGCACAGTGGTCTGAAATGGGCAAAAAGTTGGAGTTTTGAAATATCTGCAAATAAGCACCAAACTAAGTTTCAGTTATCAATTCTGAAACTTAATTTGATACTAAGTTGGGTTTGATACTTAGATTAAGTACTCCGTTATCACTTGGTAATTTGGTTTGGAGATAACCGGTTTCGACGTTGTGCCGTTTTGGGTGTAGTACAAAGAGCTAAAAACAAACAAATACAAAATTACTAAAACTTAAAGTTCAGTGTATACGCTTCCTTTCCTTTCTTATTCAAACGAGTTATTTCTACTGTTTAAGCCTTGAGGTTTTAAAAAATTTGTATAAATATTATTCAGCTCTCAAGCGAAAAAAAATCATTGAGAAACGCTCAAGGAATGAAAAGAATTTATTTTGTGAAAATTTCTTATACCAGTTTGCGGCTCCCCCCCAAAAAAATGCTCGTATGCGTGTAAATTTTTTTCTTTACGAAAATTTGGAGAAACGGCAAAGTACTTTTTGAAGCGACAGAAAAATATAAAAATATTTCTTGAGGCTTTGGTTGAGAGCTGGATACTTAGCTTCAGTACTATAATTCCTTCCTGAGTAAAAAATTTAACAATTGAACCCGGTAACCACTAAGGCAGTTCTAGGGAAAGTGCTAATTAGAAGATATTTTATGTCCCTATTATGAGATCCCTGACCCTGGAGGCTCATTCTACTTTTAGTGCATAATGAATGCTAGAAGTGCCTTAGAAGTCCACTGCACACATATATTAAGACAGGCCACTCCGGTTTATAGGGGAACGCAGCCGGTAACGTCCGGTTAAATACCCAGCGCACAGCTCTGCTTTGTAGCGAACGGTAACCACAGAGTCTGGCTTGCGCGTTACCGCTCTCGAATACTTACTGCGTTCTGAGTTTAACCATTCTGCGCCTAAAAGTCTCAAAGAAGAGAAACTGAGACAACACAAAGTAGTTTCATTTCACGAGAACAAATGCTGAACCTTCTCTCCCTAGTTTGTCGGCGACCTGGTGTCCTTCAATACTGCAGTTCCCAGGTACCCAGTATTGTACCTCACCAATTCTTAGATTGGAGTCATCCTATTAGAAAATAAAGCGACTTTTACACCATTTTCAGGCTTATTCTGGTGGAGGTTTGCGTATTTAGCATCTGTGTAGGAAAAATTGCTAGACATCTGCCAATTGTAATGGAAATGGAATAGCCATAAAAACTCCCACCTGCTTTGTCTTTTATACCTGGCCCATCGGTGCATCATGTGATTTCTGTTGGAATTTCCTTCCAAAACAGATTTCTTTACAATAGTTTCAGAAGTCCGGCATCTATTATACCAGGGCTTTGTTCCCAAAATATTTGTCTGATTCTTGTTCTTATAAAGAGTACCGCCAGTATTCGCATTTCAAAATCCTTCGGGGCTGCTGATGCTTTAAAAGATATATTGGGCGTGAGTCCCGAGCCGCGATTGAACAATTTTTACTGATACCGCAAACGAGAGCAAAGCCAAGCTTCTTAGTTTATTTGAACGTTGAATGGGACTTTGTCTTAATATTTGTTTGACCACTAAACTACGAACGCATAAGCAAAAATTGGGCAGACCACATGCCTGACAAAAACTATTACTACTTTTTGTCGCAGTTTATATAGCGATTTCCCACTGTGCGACGCACTTAGCAGAGCAGCAAAGAAGGTTAACTCTGAAGCGGCAAATACACATAATAGCACACACAACAACAACACTATTGAACGTCACATAAAAAGCTCATGTTGATGCGAGCGTTCGCCCAGTTGGCGTAAAGTTGCGATTGTAAAAAGAAGTGTCTGGCGTGACAAGGGGTTAATTGTTAATTGATTAATAAGTTTTTTTTTTTTTAAGAAAACGCAGCTTATTCGTTATTAACTTAGTAACATAACTCAGAGATAAATTACAGTTTTTATTGGTTTGTGTGATAGTCCACCAAATCGGAGGATAACGTCACCTGCTTCAGCAGCAAGCAAAATAACATGGGCTCCAAATATTTACTTTTCGCCCTTGTGGCTTTGGTGCTTACATCTAGCAGCACCTTTGCAGCCGATGCTGATAATGCTGATATGGAACATCGTATGGAGGATTCGACTGAGTCGCCCGTTGCTGACTTAGCGGTTTTAGGTGAGTAGCTAATGTTCGTAATTAAATCGTTTCTGGTGCCAATTAGTATCACCGTTTTTTGTCTAGACTCCCAAATGAAAACCTCAACTGAGCGGCCAACTACTGCAACTATTAAAGCGCAAGCTGCGGCAGCTACGAAAAGTGAGCAGCCACAAAATGCTCAGCCCCATACAGTCGCCGACTTTATCATACACCCTCTGATCGCTTTTAAACCGCGTTCTCCCGAAGAGGGTTTGGCTGGCAAACAAGCTGGCGATTCGTCCACCACAACAACGCCTTCCCCCTGGACACTATTCGGTTTTAATGCCGGCCAGGGTTTGGGATCAACCGTCTCATCATCGGTCTCATCATTGGCCGGCTCTGTCAGTGGCTGGTTGACCGATCGTATCCAATTGCCTGGTTTGGTGGACTCGCCCATACGTGATTCAAGCACGACCAGCACGACCACTACAACAACAACAACACAACGTCCAGATATTGTTGTACGTGTGCAGCACAAGGGTTCAACACGTCGTCCACTCATATCGATCACCAACGAAAATCGTCCACATCGCTTCTATAGCAATAATAATAATAATTTAAATGTCCAATACGATGATGAACTAGACGACGATTTGGATGACCCACTCGAAGAAGAGGAAGAGATTATTAAAAATAAGAACAGGCGTAGAAATAATAAGAACAATAATAACAGACGCAGGCCAAACCGTGAAGAGGAAGAAATTGACGATGATGAAGACGAAGAAGAAGAAGATATTCGCCCTGTACGGCGCCCACAACAGAATCGACCACAACGTCGCCGTCGTCCCATTGTCGAAGATGACATCTCCGAAGAAGAAGTAGAAGATAACGATGACGGTCCCCAGTCCGACGAATTTGTTGATGATGAAGACGAAGAAGTTATTGAAGATGATGAAGAAGATGAAAATGTGGAAAATGATGAAAACGACGAGGAAGAAGAACCTGTGCCTCAGAACGTGAATACTCGCCGCCGTCCGGTACAGTACAATGGTAACAACCGCCCGCGTCAGCAACCACAACGCCGTCGCCTTATCGTAGGCAGTCAGCGCCAGCAACCCAGTAGCGTTATTCGGCGTATAACAAAACCCATCGAAAGTGAAGACGACGAAGACGATGGCGCCGATGAGCACTTCTATTACAGCAGCCGCCCCTCTACAAAACGCTCTCAGAATGATGCCACCCTTTTTCGGCGTGGACAGGACAACGTAATTAAACAGATACGTCAATTAACGGGCGGCCATACACCCGCTGAGATTGGCGCACTATTAAGCACATCTCCGGCGCAGACGGGCAGTAAACAGAATCGACGACGGACGACACTTTTTGTTAATCGCAATGGGCAAACCTACTACTTGGCGCCTGAACTTCTAAACAACGAACTTCCACAAGTGCATCAACTCAAGGAAGGAGCCACAAAGTTTCCACAACCCCCCTTGACGGTGCCGCTCAAGCGCAAGAATGCTCCTACCCAGTATATCACAATTCCTTGGTCGCAATTAGGTATCACACAACCCAATAACCTTCATTCTGTTGTCGAAGGCGTGCAGAGTCAGCCACTCATCTTGAATATTCCAGCCAGCGCCATTCAAGCTATGCAGAATCAAAGCTCAAAACGTAAGAAGCAACCCGCCATCACTTCTGAAGCTGTGCCGCTTTTGGCCGAGGCTTCGATTATGGACGTCTTTAAGCCACCGAAAATTCCACACGATCGCCATTCCATGGATGCGTCAGTTCAAAAACCCGCCACCGGAGGCATGCCTGTAATTATTGCATCAAAGAAGAAGAAAAATAAGCCAGCTAGCAGCAGCAATGCAGCCACAACTGCTACGAACCTACCACAGCGCATACGCCCAGGAACGGTTGTCGAAAAATCGCCTGCCACCGCAGACGTGCAGCCGGAAGCTGCTGAAGAAATGTCCGCCCAAGAAGCGGTACACAATGGGGACAACGAATACATCCTTGTGGGTGAAGATAATGAGCCCAGTCTGACGCAGCAGGTGCAGCCCGTATATGGTGAGGCGCGTTATGTCTACGGTGCTAATGGCTCACCCTACTTTGAGGTGCTGAAAAATGGGCGAGTTGCACAACTGCGTAGAAGCGGACGTGAGCTCGAGGTGCCAGCAGCTGGTGAGCCGAACTTAGACCAGTTGCAGCCGGTGAGTGGCGAACAATTCATACCTGTAAAAGTTATCAGCGAGCCAGAAGAGTCGGCGCCTGCAAAGGACTTGCAGGTCGCAGTGGAAGCGCAACCACAAAAAATTGAAACAAAAGTGGGACAGGCGGAAGCAGTGCAAACAGAAGTAGAACAGAAGGCGTTAGAAGGCGCTGATGTGCCGGTAAAGGTGACGGTGGAGGAGAATAAGACCGGCGAAGGGGCGGTGGCGACTGCGTAACGGGATGGGCAGACGAAAGACTAAATTAAGTGGGCAGTTTCTTAATTTTAAGTTATGCATAGAGATTATAATTTATTAAAAATAAATTAAAAAATAAACGAAATAAAAACAAATTAAAGTTTTAAATTCAAATTTCCGGTTTTTTTTACATATGTATTTCCGGGGTGGTTAGTTTTAGTTGGGCAAAAGAGAAAGCACGATTCTATGCAAGTAAGTTGTTTGCACTCAAAACTGAAAACTTTCTCTGATTAATATTCCTTTGGTTCATTTAAGTAAATTTTGCGAATAAAATTTCTCCTAGCCATATTAGATGACTTTTCTTCACACTTTTTTAAGCGTTGCAGAAAAGAATTTATCAATCAACTAAAAGATGCATAGTATTTGATTTAAGTGTGAATATAAAAATAAAATGAATGAATATCAAAATAAAATATCTGTTTTTTTTTTAATCCTGTTTTATTTCCCTACTGACCTCATTAGAGTTCAATGCTACCAAAGACCGCCAAAAATGCTGGTACATATTTGTACATATGTGTGTATGTGCACCCAAAATCTTTCAGTGAAATACATTTTTTTTTTTTCAGTGTCGTTTATTTTTGTTGCCTCTTTTGGCAACGGGGTTTTTCACTAATCTGACCATCTGCGGTCACACCAAATTATGTGTCTTCCAACGCAGCATGAAGCTGAATAATTAATTCGCTTGAATTCATCAGTCAGTAATGCCCAAAAGCTAAGTCTAATCATCACTTAAACGCGCTTTCTAGCGGCGCCCATTCAGTGTTTGTTGTTGTTGTTTTTATCTAATCGTTGTTGAGATTTTGCATAAATACGAATATTTCTCTAATTTTGCATGGGTTAACACAGTTCAAGTGGTTACTTCAGGCTAAGAAGTTTTGTTTCGTATACGACACGCTTTGGCTGAACCTGTTCAATATGAAAATAAGCTTCGAAATGCCGTTAGTTTTTGTTAAAAAGCAACAGCTATTTAGAGCGGCTGCGTGTGGATTCGATGGTGAAATTTCTAAATTAATTTATATGTAGATTAGCAAAATAGAAATCATAATGAGCATGACTAGTTAAATTTTCAGAGGTTCCTCACACATATGTAGAAGCATGCCAGTGATATTTACGTATATATGTATATATATATTTATGTCCATCCTTTTTGGTTTTGATTAATGGCAGAAACAAGTTTGGATTTAGATATTAAATTTCTGTAAGATATGAAGAGATGTGGGTCATTCTACTCAATTTCTATGTTATCGTTCACTAACTTTTGTTTATAACTTTATTTTTTATATAAAACACACCATTATACATAAATCCACATTTTAAATTTTTAACAAAAAATATTAAAATTCAACAAAATTTCAAACTTTTAAATCAATATTTTCCGAAAAATTGCTGATTTACAGGTTTATAGCTCTTCAAACTTTAGTACAAAGGAGTGCTTGCTTAGACTATATAACTCAAGGCCGACTCCTTGTGAATGCCGTTGAAAGCCTGTCGTTATGCAGTTGGGTCCAGGGGTGGTTAAATGAACCTCCGCAGCTTCGTTCGCTGCCTTCTTCTAGTCCCCGGCGACCACACAAGCGCTGCATAGTTTAGGACCGGCCGGACAATTGGTAAAAAGGGTTGCCGAAGATTTCGTAGGGGAGAGGGTTAGGCTCCTTGCGGTAAAGAAGCCCGGAGAAAGCCCGGAGGCAATCGAGACTCCCTCTGGTGGCTGAGGGAACTTCGATATGTAAAAATTAAACAGCAACGAGGAAAGGACAACATCCTGTGGGACCCCCTGTTTAATTTTCTTTAGTTTGCTGGTTTTTTTCTTTGAAAACGACTGACGAATATCGACCACTCAGATAATTCGCCGACCATCGTTTAAGTCCCTATGGTGGAATTTCAACAACTGGACGATACTAGTATCATTTAATGGTGTATTAGAGCAGAGCAGAAATTTAAAACGTATGTGGTCTGGTCAAAGGCAACATTTATATCTTCCAAATGTCAGATCTTTGGCCGACCAAATTCTTCATGAACTTCCCTTACTTATGGTTTCAAAGACCACGTTTGTTTGTGTAGCCGCACACACCGTTTCACTTGTCATTGTTGATGGACGGGAAAGGCACCTGCAACAGTCATGAGGCCGTGAGAGCGGAAATAGCCTAACCCAATGTTTTTTTTTCACTTACCTACTTTAAATAGACTCCTTAATTTTATGTAAAGTAAAAAGCTACATAGCGTACCATCAATAAAGGAATAAGCGACATTTTTATTAGAATTTAACACATTTAAACCTTTTTTAAGAGGTTAACTACAAAAAAAAACAAAAAAAAAATTTTGGGATAGGCCACTTCTGTTCTCATGGCCTCATTTGTTGCTTACATTTTTGTTAAAAATTTCACCGAGCTTCTGCTTGGTGTACGCCTTAATATTTTGTATACAAATTTAGATGATCTTTTATGGAATGGCAAAAGTAGGTAATCCGGAATGTTTGTAATTTCCCACCGAGTGTTGACCGATTTAGAAAATACTTACTTTCTTTTCTCACCTCTAAGTTGAGATACATTTAAGGTACGAATAATTTATTAAGTTAGAGTGTAGATATCTTAATTTTTATAGACTTAACCCATTTTCCCTCTAATTTATTAACTTATAAATCTGTGGTTGACGCCTTTAAATTGAAATATTTTCGTTTAAATTTGAAAAGTAAAAAGAGTTTGCCAATTTTTGGAATTATCGAGTGCCCATGAATGAATTCCGTGAATTTATTTTAGTTAGTCTTACGTCTAAATATGTGCATAAGCATATGAAATTTATTTGTGCATAGGTACGTATGTGTTTCCAAGAATATAATTATATACATATATAGCATAGCAAATGAGTAGACAAACTGACAAAAGTAGTTCGATGAACTTTCAACTATTTATGCATTCTTACATACATACATACCTACACATATAAGACCCAAATAATCAATATTTATTGGCATGAACTTCTTAACGGGTTAAACGGTAATAAGTGACATGATTAAATCCTAATAGAATGTATTTACATAAACAAATATACATATATGCTCATATGAAAATATCTGCCTTTGCAGAAGGGAACCTCTATAGGAAAAAATCATATTTGATATTCGGCTTCAGAAAAGAGAACTATGTATACAGAGCCCGATGAAATAAGCCACTAAACCTTTTTTCAAGAAGGCAGTTTGTTAAAAGGGGAAAATCATTTTATTTGATTAACAATTACAAATAGTAATATATATTGGGTATTTAGTAATAATAAAATCTTTTGGATTTCAAAAGTCATATTTTTCTCACCCCAAAATGTATATAAGTATAGAATATTCCTATATGAATCGAGCTTTCTTTGAAGGTATTTTCAAAAAAAATTGAGAAATGTTACTAGTCGAGCCGGCAAAATTTTGTTGGTTTAATAGGCGACAAACGTTTTTAATAAAATACATATAATAATAAATCATAATAAATCCAGCCGAATACTTCCCCGAAAACTGCATATTTTTTTCTTTTAAGCATAAATTGACTACATATCTTCTTTCGATAAGCTAGCTCAGAATAGATTGACGGTTAACTATAGCTACTATATAATTGTCAAAATTTTTGTAAGCTCAAGGTCCAGTATCAAATCTAACTTTAAGGCTTTTTTTATCCTTTTCCATTATTTAGTTGATATTCCGACTTCATTCTAAATTAAATATAGAAACTTTTCGTTATGCCTAGTAAAATTCTACATAGACTATATACATATGTATCTAAATTTTCCTTTAGGGTCTGTTATTGGCTCTGTTAATATGCACTCATACATATGAGCTTTCCTTAACTTTTTATCTACCTGTGCGACAGAATACCGTTACTAACATTCTTGCATATAAAATTAATAGAAAATACGAATTTAAATTTCGCTAGTAAATAATAAAGAAGTGATTTCTAAAGAGAAACTAACTTTCGTTGCCGTGCCAATCAGTAGCTACATATACATATAAAATTGTAACCTTTAGCATTTACACACTCATACACGTACATACGTATTTCAGTGTAATAGAAACTATTTCAGACATTTTTTAACACGAACATCTGCGCCTTGGCACGAATTCTACCTCCAGCGCCTTTATTTAAGCAGGAAGCTGAGATGAAACGTAAAAAAAATATTAATGATTGCTAGCAAAAAAAAAAAAAAAATAATAATAAATGAGATAACCAAATTGGTTGACTAGAGCGAGAGTTTGGTGGGAATATAAATTGAAGTTGCTTTCCAATACGTTTTCTGTATAAAGGTTTATACAATTTTTGCAGATCAATGACTTCATTTGGCGTTGTTTGTTGCTCTTTTATTAGACTGAAATTTTCTATTTACTTTTTAAATGAATTTTTCTATCCTTAGTATAAGTGTTTGGCCTGAGGGCATGCCACTTTCTTCTCACTCATTATTGTGTGGTTTTCATTGACATCCTCCAGTAGCAGAAATTTGTTCAGAACTTTCAGTTAACTATCAACTGAGAGCTTTTGAAATTCTTGCAAGTAATACTTACAATGTCCCAAAAGTCTGGATGTTGTTCAAAAAGGTGCATGCTAATACACATACATATCTGTGGATATTTATGTATGTACATACATTAGTGTGCATCACTCTTCATACAAAAAAAAAATATATATGTACTTTTTTTCTATAGGAAATATAAAAAACTATTATATTGAAATAGTTCCGCCAAAATACTCTCTATATTTAAATGGGTCCATCTCACGTAAATCTTAGGGCCGGTTTTTCAATGTCTGTTTAACACAAATCGGAGGTAGAAGCTCTGGTTAAGTACAATGACTGCTTTATCGATCACATGTGATATGCATGATATCGAAATCGAACCGGCCCTTAATATTTTTTTTTTGTTTTTGGCGGAAACACTATATACATATATTAGGAATGTTAATCCCGGGATTCCGGGCAAATAATCTCGGGATTTTCGGGATTTATAATTTGCACTGATGGCAATAATATAACTTCCTTTTCTTAACCAGTATTGGCTATATTTCT